GGGGGGCCCGGGAGGGAGCTGGGGGGGCCCGGGAGGGAGCTGGGGGGGCCCGGGAGGGAGCTGGGGGGCCCGGGAGGGAGCTGGGGGGGCCCGGGAGGGAGCTGGGGGGCCGGGTCGCGCCCGGCTGAGCGGCAGGCTCCGGCGCTCTTCCCCGCTGCCTGTGGCCGGCGGCGCAGGTGGAATTTCCTGTTCGGCCGGTGCCTGGCCGCTGGGCCCGGGCGTGGCGGGCTGGACCTTCCGCACCTCGGAGGTGGGGAGCCCCTGGGCCCTGGGGGCGGCCGACCACCCCCCGCCCCGCCTGACCCCGCGGACCCTTCGCGCGTCTGAAGAAAGGGGCTCGGTGTCGGGCCGGCCCTGCCCCGCGGACTGCTTATGAGCGCAGGTGTGGAAGGAACTGAGCGCCGAGCTCCGAGCAGGGTGTTTACTGGGGCGGTGGAGGGCTGTCCGCCGCCTCCGCACGAGTTTGCTTTCTGTTCTCCGGTTCCTCGCAGCGGGCAAAGCTGGAGCCCAGCGCCCAGGCTGACGCGGGCAAGAGCTGGGGCGCCGAGGGCTGGTTCTGCCCGCGTATCTCGAAGGGAAAGCGCCCGCTGGGAAGGTGGCTGTGTGGGCGGGTGTAGGAGCAAGTGTCTTGGGCTTGCTGCAGACACCGAGGCGGTAAGCTCGCTCTTCTTCGGCCCGGAGAGCAGTGAGACATCGCTTGAAAGATCTCAGAAGCATTACATCTTCAAGTAGAGTCGAGGAGGGACTTTGCTGAGGGGCGAACTTAGGTAGTAGTTCGCAGGCCGCAGTGGCAGCCAAGCCTGTGAACCCTCTCTGTGCAGTGAGACCCCAGGTTGCCCGGAAGGCCTTCAGAGATAGCGTGTTTGGTGAGTGAGGTTTGCGCTCTGCGGATGACCATAAGATGGGCCACTCTGTCCGGGCTCCCTCCCTTCTATTCTTTCTTTTCTTTTCCCCTCCTCCTCCCTTTCTTTTCTCCTCCTCTTCCCCCCCCCCCCCCCCCCGCCTCTTCTTTCTTCTTCCTTCTTTCTTCTTCTTGTATGGCACTGGGAATTAAAACCAGGGCTTTACACTAGCTACATTCCCTAGACTTTTTTTTTGGCGGAACCAGGGTTTGAACTCATATCCTTGCACTTGCCAGGCAAGCGCTTATTTTACTGAGCCATCTCCCTGGCCCCTCCCCAGACCTTTCTACATTATTTTGAGATAAGGTCCCTGCTCAATCTCTGAATTGCCCAGGCTGGATTTGAATTTATGATCCTCCTGCTTCCCAGAATGCTGGGATTACAGCACCACACACTTAGGTGTGCACCGTTGTGCCACACTCGGCATCTGGTGTTCCAGGTTCCCGTGACAGCTATGTCAGAATCATGCCTTTTTTTCTTAAGTAGTATCTTGCTTTGGGGAACTGTCCCAAGAGCAGATGGACGGGCTGTGTGTGGTGGCTCCCGGCCACCCAGCAGCTGAGGCTGGCACTGTTGTTTTCTTCACTTTTCACCCTCAGTGGCCAGAGCTGCTGGCCTTGTTGCCCCACCATGGATGCCTTCTCTAGCTTGCTATAATTGGGTGTTTGCGCATCCTTGGTAATTGCCTGCTTGGGTTTCTAGACTTCTGCCTCTTAGCAGAGCCTGTTTGTTATTTCTCTGCCCTTCCTGACTTCCCTTTCTGGGAGTCTCCTGCTGAACTGGACAGTGAGCCTTCTTGGGCCCTGACCTGCCTCCTGCAGAGTACTGCTGTCCTCTAGGGCCACTGGGCTGGGCTCCTTCCATGGCTCCCACCAGCTGACTCACCGTCCCCTACACAATAATCTCTTCCTTATTTTCCTTCCCCCTTGATCTCACTCGTCTTATCTTCTGTGAGCACATTGTGGGGTGGCCCCATGCACTTCCAATTCTGCTGTCATCTTTCATGCCATCCATTCTTGTCTTTTCTCCCACCGCGAGTACTATGACCAAACTGTATGTAGTTCTGGGCCAGGTGCTGCTGGAGAGGGTGATCTCAAAGATCCACACCGAGTAGGTGTTTCCCTCACAAAACTTACGGGTGCTCAGACAATGCTGAGACTTGTGCAGGAGTTAGATGTGTGGCCAGTGTGGGGAGGAGGTGACCAAAGCTCATGCCTGCCTCTCCTGGCAGTCATCACACAGCCCCCCAGCCGAAGCCTCAGCAGAACACTCCTTCCCTGCTCACCCGGCAATGTGGTTTGTAACCTAGGTCTGCAGTCACTGCCTTGTCTCCTCTGACTGCTGCCCCTAAGGTTTGTGCTCAGTGTCATAAGCGCCTGGCTCAGACCATACTCTAGGGGGGCTGTTGCTTTTGTATTCCTTGTTCTTAAGCTGCTTCCCTTTCTTTCTTTTTTTGTTTGCTTTTTTGAGACAGGATCGCTCTGTGTAGTTCAAACTGGACTTGAATTCAGTATGTAGCCCAGACTAACCTCAAACTTGAGGTGCTTCTCCTGCTTCAGCCTCCTGAGTACTGGGATTAGAGGCATGTGCCACCATACTTGGCTTCCTACTTCCATTTTGGCACCTCTGTGTGGTGGTACTTGGGTATCTGGCTCTGGGTTTTTCCAAGCCCCTACCTGCATTGTGCCCATGATTGGCACCTCTGCACTGGGCTTTATGTCTGTAGCAGCCTTTGGGGATAGTATGTGGGGATTGTGTGAGCAGGTGGCGTGGATGCTGACTATTAGAGCCCTTAAAGGTGACTGGGAGGCCAGGCTCACAGAGCAGATGGATCCCTGTTGAATATGGCTACGAAGATGCTTCAGAGTGAGCACATATAATCAGGTCCTAGAGTTTCTTAGGCAGGACTCTGCGCCCGCCCTCGCTGTGAGGACCGACTGAGGTTGGGGAATCAGGTGCTGTAGGGAGAGGGAGAGGGAGAGGGAGAATCGGGTGGGGGCTGGGTCTACACCCTGGCCATTCAAAGCTGTTTGCTTCTTGATTGGTCAGACACTCACAGGTCTACTTAGTCACTTGTTGCCATAGCAGTTGTTTACTGCCACCGGCTGAGCACAGGCCTGCCCTGCCTAGTGGGGGACAGTGAGAAAAAGCCCAGCACGGTGTCTGCCTTCAGGGCCTCATGTGGTACGGAATACATGGAGTTACATTCCTCCTCATGAGTTGTAGATTCTGCATAGGCCCAGGGTGGACACTGAGGAGGGCATCCACGCAACCCGGACTGGAAAGACCAGAACGCCTGCGCAGGGTTGAGTAGTCTGACGTAGGGCAGGAACTTGCAGCCCGGACCTGCCGCTGGGCACCGTGCTGTGTAGATGCGCAGTCTTGGGTCTCAGGAATGTTCCCTCATCTCAGCTTCTGTGGCTGAAGGATGGGATGAAGAGTGTGGGCAGGTTTGCTGCAGGGGTTCAAAGGGACATTGTTTGTGGAAGACCTTTGTGAGTTACAGATTGTACAGTTTGAGTTGAGTTGAGAAGAAGGCTCTGAGAAGAATCAGAAGGTCACATAATATTGTCAGGTGCAAGTCAGGAGCCTGAGAGCCTCACTTGCAGCGGGCTGTGACCCTCTGCAGGTGCTGGCTGACCCTGCGGGGCACAAGGTGTGCTCCGTGAGGAGTGCAGGCAGCCATGCCTGCTTGGAGCCCCTCTTCCTGTGCTGCTTTGGTTTTCATGTCTTTGCCTTTCAAGGAGAAAGATCCTGCTATGGAAAGAAGAGGAGTGGCGGCCTCTCAGCCCTGCTCCTTCTCCCGTGCCTTCCCACAGACAGAATCTCAGCGTCATGGACTTCTTTGTTCTTGTAAGCTTGTGTGCCCAGCTCAGGGACTGGAGAGGCAGTGAGCCGTGGGACCCGAGGGCCGTGCAGGTGTGGGCTTACAGTGCTAGGAGTCAACGGGCGGCCTGCCTGCTTCGTGTCCTAGAGCCCTTTCCCTCGGTGGAGGTCCTGGGAAGGTCCGGAAAACCACAGCTCCACTTAGGAGTCTGGAATACAGACTTAGGACAAGACTGTTCTCACCTGGTGGCCCAGGCTGCCCACTGCCTGTAGATACTAAGGGTGGGTTTGCTTGGAGCTGGCTGGAGGCTCAGGTGCTGTCATCACAGGCTGTGGGACACCCAGTCTCGGCTCACTGTCCCCGCTGGCCGCTGTGGCCAGTGGCCTCTGTCCCTCAGAATGCTGTGGTTCTGGAGTTCCTCTGGTGTCTGCTCCATCTCTGCACTGTGGTTTGGCCCAGGTGGTTGCCTCATGTCTGTCCTAAGACAGTCTGTTCTTGGAAGGGGAGGGAGAATGGAACAGGATCCCCAAGGAGCCCAGATCCCAAGCTGTCACTTCTGTTATTGTGCGTGTGGCTACTGGAACATCTGGAATACTGGTAAGCATTTCTGGCTTATGAAATCATGTACTGTGTTCCACCCCTCTTGGAGGTGAAGGGTCCAAGACCTTCAAGGATATTTAAATATGAGATGTTTAAGTCCCTCACATAACGTGGTATAGAACTGTTGCTTTGTGGTAGAGGCATGTTTTGAGACCTTTGTAGGTGATTTGCTCAGGGTGTCAACTTCACAAAGTGGACTTACACGAGTCCCCATGTAGCCTCCCACTCTGGGCCCTAAAATCTTCACCTAGGAGCCAGTGGTCTATCCTAGACTGAAGGGCTGTGCAGCGCACAACTGTTGGCCTATTCAGTTGGCACATCCTCCATACTGTCTAAGTCATCTTTAATTTTTTTTAAATTTTATTTATGTGTGTGTGTGCGTGTGTGCGTGTGTGTGTGTGTGTGTGTGT